CCTCTGCCTCCCGGGTTCAGGCAACCCTCCTGCCTCAGCCTCCAGAGTAGCTGGGACTACAGACACGCACTGCCACACCTGGCTAATTTATTTTTTATTTTTAGTAGAGATGGGGTTTCACCATTTTGGCCAGGCTGGTCTTGAACTCTTGAGCTCAAATCATCCACTTGCCTCGGCCTCCCAAAGTGCTGGGATTACAGGTGTGAGCCACCACACCCAGCCACTACTGTGACATTTGAAGAGTGGCAGCTGCCCTGTGGCCTCCCAGGCACTGTGCATGTAGATGATGGCTGGTCCTCAGGACAACCCTGCAGGAAGGGACCTCTCCCTCTATCATGCCATCGAGAAGCCTGGGCCTTCGAACGCGAGAGCTCCTGCTAGCTTTCACCCTCCCAGGTGCCTCCCGCCTCCACCTCATTCTGTGAACACCGCAGAGACGCAGGAACAGACCCGCTCACTGCCCTGTGCCTACACAGATCATTGCATCTGATGGCTCCCACTCCCCACACTTGAACTCCACCCTGTGGACTAGGACATCTTGGGAGGGCCAGCTAGGACATCTCCCCAGGAGGCCCGTTCAGCGGATGGCTGGGAGCACATAACCTGTTTTCATGTGTTTCCTCATCAATCTGCTCTATCTAAGGCGGTAGGAGAAGGCAACCAGCTTCCACCAGGAGGGTTCCTAGCCAGTGCCCGCATTGCTCACTGTAACAGCAGCTGCTTCTGGAATTAATTTTCTTCACAATAAGCATGTGTTCACATCAGACTTGACAACTGGGTGTGCACTCACTGCTGGGAGGAGCTGCAGCATATGCAGGGGAGACGGTCTGGGCAAATGGGAAATTCACGGCCCACAGAAGAGACAGACGGAGGAGCCAGAGAAGCCCAGCCACCAACTGGCTGCGTGGCCTCAGCAGCTCAGTCCCTTCTCTGTGGCTCCTTTGTGGACTCAGGAAGCTGGGCTAGAATGCTCCCAAAGGTGCCCTTGCCTCGGTCAGATCCTAGGAACACTTTCAGACTGTGGATCACAGAGGGCACCTGGAAAGAGGATCTGGTCCTGCTTCCCTATCAAACAGGGGAGCATCTAGCTGCTGAGGACCAATGCCAGTCAACGCTCGCATCTGCAAAGCTGTCTGAACCCTCCAGCTTCTGAGGGCTGATTCAACTGGAATACTTGCCCATAGTATTTTTATATACCAAATAATAAGGGATGTGGGGGTGGGGGCAGTGGCTCACGCCTGTAATCCCAGCATTTTGGGAGGCCAAAGCCGAAGGATCATTTGAGCCCAGGAGTTCAAGACCAGCCTGGGCAACATGGAGAAACCCCATCTCTACAAAGAACACAAAAACTTAGCCAGGCGTAGTGGCATGCACCTGTACTCCCAGCTACTTGGGAGGCTGAGGTGGGAGGATCACCTGAGCCCAGGAGGTTGAGGCTGTAGTGAGCCGAGACTGTACCACTGCACTCCAGCCTGGACGACACATTGATATCCTGTCTCAAAAACAAAAAAGGATGAGGGGGAGCTCTGTGGCCTCTCCTGGCTCTCAGTTTTAAGTGGTACCAGTTATGAAAAGCAAACAGTCTTGAGAAATGGGAACATTCTAACCATCAGGGATAACCCCGCCACATCCACAAACTCACCTCAGGGGGGATCGGGCTCAGACACCAAGAGGCCTTATCAGAAACAGGCAACACAGCCTTTGCTTACGAGAAAACCCCACCTCCATTTCCCGGCTGTTCTCCCCAGTTCTGAGCCCCTGGATGTTCAGAGAGCCGCACAAAGAGAAAGTTCTCTCTGGAGCCTGTGAGGTCGTGACAGTTAGTGGGAACGTGGCCTACCTGCCATCCCCTTTTCAAAATAGGGCCGAATGTGCTCGCCAAACGTGGTCGCGTCTGCCACGGCCTCTTTCAGCAGTTGCCCACAGCCGACTGAAGGAGAGGGGAACAGAAAGGCACTCATTAAATTTTAAATAGGAGGGAGGATGAGAAAAAAAGAACCCCCAGCGCTGCCTGCTGGGGGGAAAAAAAAGGTCACTGAAAAAAGTATAAAAGGATTTTTCTGTGGGTGGATATGTGTCCGAGTAAAAGTAAATATCAAAAAGGAGCCAGGAAATAAAGAAGAGGGAGAGGTGGAATGAAAAGGAATGCATTTGGCAAAGAACACATTAAAAATGGACGGTGCGGGGAAGACACTAACGAGGCTGCTGCCCACAGAGGAGCCTGCAGAGCCTCCCTGCGCCTGGAATTGCTGTGCACAACGCTGGGTCGCTGCAGAGGGTCAGCATGCTGGGCGGGGAGGTGGGGAGGTTGCCCATCTCTGAGCGATATGCCTCAAGTGCGTCCACACTCGCACCCTTGTCACACAGGGGAGAGGGTGCAGTGTGTTGCTGCCACGGCCGCTCCAGCTGGCAGGGCGTCTCCATGGGATGGGGGGGCCACATGATAGAATAGATTCATATTCCAAGTGGACTGACTCATCGTTAAAAAGCACCACGTGGCTGTAATCCCAGCACTTTGGCTGAGGCGGCCGGATCACCTGAGATCAGGAGTTCGAGACCAGCCTGGCCCACATGGTGAAACCCCAACTCTACTAAAAATACAAAAATTAGCGAGGCATGGTGGTGCATGCCTGTAATCCCAGCTACTTCGGAGGCTGAGGCAGGAGAATTGCTTGAACCTAGGAAGTGGAGGTTGCTGTGAGCCAAGATTGTGCCACTGTTACTCCAGCCTGGGAGATAGAGGGAGACTCCGTCTCAAAAATAAATAACTAAATATATAAAAGGTACCACGCTGCAGTCACCTAGCCAGTGGTGGCTGCCCCACTCTGAACGCCTGCTCGCCCTGGGCAGGGGCCTCCCTCTGGCCCCACTGTGTCTCGAGCCCTGAGACAGGGCCGGCACATAGGAGGTGCTGGGTGACAGGTGTGAGTGAATAAACACGGGCTAACTCCTCCTTGGCTGTGAAGCCCTTCCTAGCCAAAGCCAGAAGATTTAAGCTATGTTTGCAGGAATTGTTCATTGCACACTTTTGGCTTTCTTACCTTTAGGGCTAAGGAGTTTTCTGCCTATGCTAAAGAGACCAAAAGACATCCTACAGTTAACTGGATAGCATGAATGTTTAAAAAAATTACCATCACCAAGGATTTATTCCTCAATAATGATATGTTTAATCCACTATGGAAATGACAGCAGTTGTCATTTAATTTAATCCAACGTGGTTGGCGGCCTCACCAGCAAAGCACATATAAGTGAGAATAGAGGCTGCTGGGGACCAGGTGCTGTGGTTCACGCCTGTAATCCCAGCACTTTGGGAGGCCAAGGTGGGAGGATTATTTGAGGTCAGGAGCTTGAAACCAGCCTGGCCAACATGGTGAAACCCCATCTCTACTAAAAATACAAAAATTAGCTGGGCATGATGGTGGGCACCTGTAATCCCAGCTACTCGGGAGGCTGAGGCAGGAGAATCACTTGAGCTAGGAGGCGGAGGTGGCAGTGACCAGTTATTGCACCAGTACACTCCAGCCTAGGTGACAGTAACACTCTGTCTCCAAAAAAAAACACTGGTGGGAACAGAGACAATTCTGTCTGTTGTCTCTGTTCAAAAGCATTGTGCTAAGTGTGCTTTGTTTTATTTGGACCTCACAGTAACCTGTTGCTTTTTAGATAAGGACACTGAGATTCAAAGAGATGAAGTAACCTGCTCTTGGTCACACTGCCATTCAGGGGCTGAGCTGGGGTCCAAACCCAGGTCTGTGTGACATCAAACCCATGCTTAGCTTCCAGTTCTGGCCATGAAGGAGTAACAGGTATATATTTAACTTCTCTTATAGAAAGCTGTGAAACTGAACAAAATCTATGAAGCAATTCTTTAGTCACTGGACAATAGACAGACAGACAATAGATAGATAATCCTGGAGAGGCTGGAAACACACACAATGAGCCCCATATTCACCCTGGATTTCTACCTGTGGGCACTTCTCAAATCCTGGCACAGACGAAGTGGAACCCAAACAGATCAGCAGTCTCACTGGGTGGAAGTAACAAAGACTGGAGCTATGAGACAGCCAGAATTTGTAGGACAGGGAAATGGAGAGGAGGGAGCTATGCACACAAGGAGCTCTAGAAATCTCACAGGGTGTCACTAAGCCTTTGCCAATATGAAGCTTCACATGTACAAGGTAAGACTCCAGAGGCCTGGTAGAGAAAAGCTACTGGGAAGCTGTGAACTGAATGGAAATTCACACAGTGCTGGGAGATGCTGGCATTCTGACAACCAAAGTGAGAGACCTTGCCGAACACCCCAGACATTCAGCTGAAATTCCAGAAAGGGCAGACCTTAGCTGCAGGATACTCTAGCCCTACAGTAAGAACACTCTAGTCCCACTTAACAAAGCCTAAAAATAAGCTTCAATGGGGTTAATACTCCAAACTCAATACTCTTAAAGCAGAATGATGACACAATCCAGACCTTCAAAAATGTGGCAAACACAATGTCCAGCACTTAATCAAAAGCTTCTTGACATGCAAAAAAGCAGGAAAATGTGACTCCTATGAGGAGAGCAAACAGGCCACAGAATCAGACCAGGAGATGACACAGATGTCAGAAATAGCACACCAGGACTTTAAAACAGCTATTATGAGTATATTTAAAAGCTTAAAGGAAAAGATAGTTAAAATGAGTAAACAGATGGAGAATCTCAGCAGAGAAATGAAAACTGTGAAAAAGAACCAGATGGCAATTCTGGAACTGGAAAATACAGTATCTTAGATAAAACAAATCACTAAGTGTGTTGCAATCAGTGAATCTGAAGACAGGAAAGGAGGCAACAGGAAGTAGCCAAACTGCAGTGCAGTGGGGGATGGGAAAGGACGGGAAGAAAAGAGCCAAATGGAAGAGACCCGGAGGATGATACCATGCAGTCTAACATACATGGAACTGGAGTTCAAGAAAGGAGAGAGTCAGGCAGAAGAAATATTTTGGAAGATAACGACGGGAGAATTTCAAAATTCGATTAAAAATTTCAACCCACACACCCAAGAATCTCTGAGATCCACGCAGAACAAACACAAAAGTAAGTTGCACTTTGATACATCAGAGTCAAATTGCTGAAAGCTAAAGAGAAAATATTAACAGCAGCTGGTGGCAGGGGGAGTGCTTCATATGTAGGGCAACAATGGTAAAAATAACCTCTGAGATCTCATCAGAAGAAGTGCAAGCCAGAAGACAATAGAATGACATCTTTAAAGTGCTAAGAGAAAGAAACTGTCAACATAGATTTCTATATGCAGCCAAAACATCTTTCAAAAATGAAGGTGAAATCGTGACATTTTCAGATGTATGAAAGCGTTGTCACCAGCACACTTTCACTACAAGAGATGTTAAAGGAAGTTCTTCAGGCTGAAAGAAAATGATACCAGATGGAAACTTAGATGTAAACCAAGGAGTGAAGCATATTGATAGGTGGGTACATATGAAAGTCGTTCCCCACTTATATTTTCACTGTTTTAAAGGACAAATGACTATTTAAAGCAAAAATAATTACAAGATATTGTAGGGTTTATAACATACATAGAAGTAAAATGTACATCCCCTGTAGCACAAAGGACAGTAGTAAGGTGAATGGGAATCTGCTGCTGCAATGCTCTGATATGATACATGGGGAGGTGTCATATTCACCCCAAATAGGCTGTGACAAGCAAAAGATGCATATTTAATCCCCACAGCAACCACTAACAAAATTAAGCAAAGAGATACAGCTAAAAAAGGAAGTTAAAAAAAGAAAACCGATTACTAAAAAATATTTGGTTAATCCAAAAGATGGCAGGAGAGGAGGAACAAAGAACAGATGACACAAGAAGAAAACAAAAAACAGGCCAGGCGTGGAGGCTCACAGGAGGCCGGGGTGGGGGCGGGGGGAGGTTCGCTTGAGCCCAGGGTTTGAGGGTGCAATAAGCTATGATCGCACCACTGTACTCCAGCCAGGGCAACAGAACAAGACCCCATCTCCTAAAAAAAGTGAGACCCAACCACATGCTGTCTACAAGACACATATTTAGACTATAAGACACAGATAGTTTAAAAGGAAAAGAATAGAAGCTATATCATACAGACACAGATCATAAGAAAGAGAAACTTCATTCACATCAGACAAAGTAGACTTTAAGAAGGTGAGCATTGCTAGAGAGGCAAAACCTTTCCTAACAATAAAAGGGCCACTTCACCAATAAGATCTCACTATACTTACTGTATGCAGTTGGCCCTCCATATCCATAGTTTCTACTTTCATGGATTCAATCAACCACAGATTGAAAATATTTGGGGTAAACATTACGTCTGTACTGGACATAAAAAAGACATGTACCGTCTTTTTTCCTTGTCAGTATTCCCTGAACAATACAGTATAACAACTGTTTGCTTAGCATTTACATTATATTAGATATTATAACTAATCTAGAGATGATTTAAAGTGTATAGGAGAATGTACGTAGGTTATATGCAAATACTATGTCATTTTGTATCAGAGACTTGAGCATCCTTGGATTTTGGTATCCAAGGGAGGTCCTGGAACAATCCCCATGGATACTGAGATGTGACAGTATGTACTTAATACCAAATTACATGAAGCAAAAACTTGCAGAGAAATAGACAAATCCACAATTAAGAGTTGGGAGATTTTTGACATTTTGGGCAGATGATTGTAAAAAGTTAAAAATAAAAGAGTGCGGAGAGTTTAACACAACTCCTCAATAGCTGACATAATAAGAAGAGCGAGAATAATTAAGGACAGAGAAGAATTGAACACTATCAAACATCTTATCCTAATCAACATTATAGAACACTATATCCAACAATGCAGAATACCTCTTTTTTTAAAGTACACTTGGGGCCGTGCGTGGTGGCTCACGCCTGTAATCCCAGCACTTTGGGAGGCTGAGGTGGGCAGATCATCTGAGGTTGGGAGTTTGAGACCAGCCTGACCACCATGGAGAAACCCTGTCTCTACTGAAAATACAAAATTAGCCGGGCGTGGTGGCACATGCCTGTAATCCTAGCTACTTGGGAGGCTGAGGCAGGAGAATCGCCTGAACCTGAGAGGCAGAGGTTGTGGTGAGCCAAGATTGTGCCATTGCACTCCAGCCTGGGCAACAAGAGTAAAACTCTGTCTCA